TGCTCTTTCAGGGAGCGCAGTCTCCACGAACACTAGAGACCAAATTCGGGCACTTATGGAGAAGGACCCGGCTACCCAATATTTGGTCGACCTCATCAAGCATGGTAAAACTCGACAGTTCTGGCTAGATGGAGAACTAGTGAAGACAAAGGGAGACCGTCTATATGTTCCTAAGGGTGGAGATCTGAGGAAATCACTAATCACGGAATGCCATGACACAATTTGGGCGGGGCATCCCGGAGAGGAACGCACTTGTGCACTACTACAACGTGCATACTACTGGCCTCAAATGCGGGATGACATTGCAACATATGTAAAAACTTGTCTTATTTGTCAGCAAGATAAGGCAGATCATCAGAAAAAGGCGGGCTTGCTGGAGCCCCTTTCCGTTCCATCCCGGCCATTTGAAAGTGTATCGATGGACTACATTATTGGGTTGCCAAAAGTTGAGGATTTTGGCACTATCATTGTCGTGGTGGACCGTCTATCAAAATATGCAACTTTCATTGCAGCGCCTAAGTATGTATCTGCGGAAGAGACAGCTCAACTCTTCTTCAAACATATTGTCAAATACTGGGGGCTGCCTAAGGACATCGTCAGTGATCGAGATCCTCGTTTCACTGGCATATTTTGGACTGAGTTGTTCAAACTTCTTGGTTCAACTTTGAGCATGAGTTCCAGTTTTCACCCACAATCTGACGGACAGACGGAAGCGCTTCAATTCTATGCTAGAAGAATATCTTCGGCACTTTATCTCTACTTCGCAGAAAAACTAGGTAAAACTTTTGGATGCGGCCCAAATTTGCTTCAATGCCCAAAAGAGCTCTTCCACCAATAAGAGTCCTTTGGAGATTGTTACTGGCCAGCAACCGCTACTCCCTCATACAGTGGATATTGAACGAAGTACCAAGTCCCCTCAAGCAAAGAGCTTTTCTCAAGAGTGGAAACGAAATATTGAAATTGCTCGGAGTTATCTTGAAAAAGCTCAAAAACGGTATAAAAAGGCTGCAGATCTAAAGCGTCGTTTTATTGAATTCAATGTTGGAGATCTTGTAATGGTTAAGCTTCCCGACAGAAATGTTTACAAACCAACAAGAGGGAAGGACTAAAGATTGTCACCAAAATACATTGGACCATTACCCATTGTGAAGAGGATTGAAAGAGTTGCATACAGAGTTGAACTCCCTTCATGGTGTAAAATCCACAAGGTCCTTCATGTTAGTGTGTTGAAGCCATACTTTTCGGATAAGGAGGACGCATCTAGAAATGAGCCAAAGCGACCTGTATTTGAACTGAAGAAAGCTGGAAAGAAGGTTGCTGAAGCTATTCTTGACCATCGAATCACTCGGGCTTCTAGAAAAGATCATCAGGAGTACTTGGTCAAATGGATGGGATGCAGCAGCGAGGAGAATACTTGGGAAAGAGAAAAAGATCTCAGGGCCTTCAAATCATTAATTGAAGCGTATCATGCATTGATGGCAGCGAGGACGTCGCCAAAACAAATGGGGGAGAATGTCAAGAACCGCAGCTTTACTTAGCCCCTTGACACTATCGCAGCCGCAGTTTGCCCAACTTCGACCGCACATTGTAAATATTACTTCAAGTTTGAGTTGTAATTTTCGTTTCATTGTAATAGTTATTTTAATTGTAAAATAGCTCTGATATTGGTAAAAGATTAGTATGATTCCTCGTCTTTTAAACGTCTACTCCCGTCACTTAGGTTTTTGTTCAGAATGCTATTATAAGGGGTATTAGTCATTCAAAAATCTTTCAAGCTCACTGGTGTCCGCCCCCTACACCAGCATTTGTAATTTTCTGCTTTCATCAATTGTAATGTTCAGTTTTCAGCAATCAATGTTCAATTTACTTTCAATGTATTCAAATTCTCAATTGTAAGCTTTCTACAAAATTGCAATCAAATTTTCTTTCGTCCCGACGCGGCCGAGAAAAGGCGGAAGGTAGTCTAGCGGAGCAGACTACTGCCGCACGGTGTCTCTTTCTGTGCCAAGAAGAAAGGCACCCCGTGAAACCGGGGCATATTCCAATGTTGCAAAGGACAAAGATTAGGTATACACTGGCAGACAACCGCAGTGTAAGAGTTGGATTCCTGAAACATGGATTGAAACTCTTGGTGGCATCAGTGTACATGCAGCTCTTATTTTCTGACCTGTTGGACACATCATGCGATTAACCTCTTTCACAATGCTCCAAAGGCGTGGCGAGACGGGCGGTGGGGACCTTAAGGTTGGGATTCAACTTTTCTTTTATTTTTTTATTATTATTTTTTTTTAAATATATTACAAAAACACTATTGACACCAATTGTTTTCCTGCACTATTTCTCTCTTAGTGTCTCACTCTTTCTCTCTTTGACTCTTAGCTCACTCTATTACTCTGTTCACTCTCTTTCTCTTCTCATCACACATATACATATACACGCAGCAAATATGTGTGTGTGTGTGTGTTAAAGGCGGTGGATAAAGCTTTCTTGATTTTTCTATTGTGAGGGTGATTGAAGTTGGTTGTTGCTCCTCCTTGATTCTTCTCGTATGGGCAGCCTTTCAAAACTATTCTCCAGATTATTCCATTCTTGCTTCAAGAAGTGGGACAAAATAAGAAGTCTCCAGAACTTTCTTTCAAAAGGCGGTGCTGATTCTTCAGATCGGATTTGATTTGTTGTTTGGACTTTCGTCCTTCCATTTCTTGGTTCCAAACTATTATTTCAATTCTTCCATCTTTTTCTTGATTTCATCCCCTTATTCAGTCAATTCACAGTCACAACGAGATGGAAGGACTTCTATTGGAATCCACATACAGTAGTAGAGAAAATGTCTCTCAACTCTCAATTGTAGATACTTGGGGTATATGACATGATGATATAGATATTGCGTTGAAATTTGAGGAGTAAAGGGGAAAGATTCAATTTTTTTCTGTAATATATGGATATGAGATTGCCTTTCTTCAATTTATTTGGGTGAAAAAATTCAAGCCACGGGGTTCTTGTTTTGTTCTTGAGGTGCATAACAAGCAGTAAATGAGTTTTCTGACTGAAATAGTTGTTCTGTTGGCTCTACCACCCAAATAAGTCTCAAGAATCTTGAACTGCCATGAGAGTCGTTTCTGATGATTATTTAGCATAAGATGAGGTGCATGTATAATTATTGTCGGCAAATTTGGTACGTGTCACTAGATAGGACTCGACTATACAATAGAAAAAAATTTTATTTTATTTTTCATTTTAATACTAACCAATGCTCACTTTCAGTCTCACAAATATGACATTTGTCTCTAGAGGGCAATTGCAGTCGAGCTATAAGAGGTCATTCAAATGTAGTTCATAACCCTCTGGTGTGTTTCTGTGTTTTAATTTCTGTATATCTCATTAACAGATCTCTTCATAGAGAGACTAAGAGCTTAATTTTTTACATAGATATATTAGGTTTCTTATCCTACAGTCCACAATCAGAAACAGTTCAAGTTATCCACGCAAAGCACCGTCTTTGATACTGTGTGGTAGATTATATAATAAAGGGTATATCTGGGAACAAAATTTCTTTTGATTCTTGAAAGTTGAAAAACTAGAGCCTTCAGTTATCTTTCTAACTAGAATGCACTCGAGAATAATCTTATAATCCCTTCACTTTAAATATTGTAGGGCAAAGAAGATGAACAACACAGGGGATGACCCATATTATGTATCATTGTTTCATGATTTGTATTTCCGTTATAATCCTCAGATTTACATTTAACTCATTTCTTATGACAATTGCCAACATAATTGTTAGGGTATTACTTTTGGATGATGTGACTTAGTGGTTGCACTTGTCTCGAAGAAATTTGGCCTGCCTCTCATTATATTTTGCTGTTCCTTGATTCAAAGATGGGGCTACAAAGAAATTCTTCTTCCAATTTCAATGTGTGATGTGGAAATTGGAGAAAGCACTGGCTAACTTGCCATATGATTTTTCTCGACATATCTGAGGAAGTACAAGAACAGGTTAGTTTTGACAGTTGAGAATCTTTATGTGGTTGTCTTGACTGGAATCACACATAACAAGATCAGTTTTCCAGGCTGAATTAGTCAGAGCACAATTGAGGCAAGCAACTGAGATATATGGTGGGCCATTGAATTCAAACTTCTTGTGTAGGGAGTTATCCCAGTCACTGGCCAAAGATATCAATCCATTTCAGCCGGACAACACTTTCATCGGAAGTCTACATGTAGAAAATACTGGAAATATTGATAATGAAGGCGGGAAAAAATTCGAAGTTCCTGTAGAAGGTATTAACGGATCAGTTGGCCATCCTTCTCATGAAATATTTCAGGAATCAGAAAGTTTAAGGAACTTGTGCACATCTTCCGATGTTTGTGTCCAAAAAAATTCTGACAGTGAAAGGATAGATAACCATGCAAGCGTCTGGACGTGAACAAGAAGCCTGAATCTCCTGTAATTCCTGATGACTTCCTTTGCCCCATATCACTTGAAATGATGAGTATTAAAATTCATTGAATGAAAAACATTGAATTATAAACTCCATGAAAGGAAAACAAATACACTCCATGAAGGAGGACAAACAACTCCATAAAGGAGAAAATGAAAACATTCCATAAGGAGGATAAACTCCATAGAAGGAGAAAGTGAAACATCCATAGGAGGGATTGGAATTCCACATTCCAAATCGAACCAAAAAAATGAATACAAGGTCTGTATTTATAGAGAAAACAGGAGGCAGCCGAGAAGCTGAAACTGGAAGGAATATTCTGGAATCTGTAATATCATTTTGCTGATGTGGAATATATATTCCAACACACCCCCCTCAAGATGGACTTGGTAGATCCATCTCGAAGATTAAGGAGATAGTGGAAAAGCTTCTTGTTGCAGCTGTGGCTGATGTTGATGTTACTGTTCGAAAATCCATATTTTCCTCTTTGCATGAGAATGGAGGATTTGATGATTTTCTGGCACAGGCTGATAGTTTGACTGCTATTTTTGCCGCCTTGAATGATGAGGATTTTGAAGTTCGGGAGTTAGCGATTTCTGTTGCTGGAAGACTATCTGAAAAAAAAAAATCCAGCATATGTTCTTCCAGCTCTCCAACGCCATCTTTTTCAGTTGGTGAGATCTCAGATCTAAAAGGTGGCAGTATCTCAGATGATATGGAATCTCCACCTCCACTGCACGTATGAGACTCTGAGGAGAATGCAGATCTTGAATTGAAGGAAGTGAGACACAATACTCATGACTCTCATTGCGTATTTGCAGAAGAGTAGCTTTGTTGGACATTTTATCAAGCACCTTGTGTGCACACCAGCTGAATCTTCCAACCGATATGAGCAAGAGCATCGAGTTTTCCTCAACCGAGATGAAGAATGTACAGAATGTGTTTTGCACAATTCCATTGTATTCATTCGACTTGATGAAGCAATGGAATTCTCAGAGATCGAGAAATCAATCGATTTCTCCGGTGATTCAAAAAGTGAAGATTCATTTTCAGATGCCAACTTAGACACTGAATTCAAACTCCAACTTAGACACTGAATTCAAACTCTTTTTACTCACTTTATGAGGATTCTTAGTGCAATCGAAAGCGGATTTTGATCGCCGATTTGATTGAGTGTTGTCCTTCTGTGGCGCTTGAAGATAAAAATCCCTCATCTCCGATGCGCATTTATTGAATAACAAACTGAAGCCAAATTTATCTTCAGAAATATGATCCACGTGCATCTCTTTTGTTGGATTTTAGAACACACGTACCATAAAAGGAGAAAATGAAAAATGAGCAGAACACAGGAAATCACAGATCTGCTTTCTATGAGCTAGACGTCAACTTACTGATGGAGAAATCGGCTGAAGCTGATCTAGATCCTTCCAAAATTATGCCACAATAGAAATCATAATGAAACAATGAATCTGCTTTTATTTCAGCAGAACATAAAAAGTGGAGATCAATTAACTCCAGAAAATTGCAGCAGCAAGAAGCATCTGCTCTGATACCATATTAAAATTCATTGAATGAAAAACATTGAATTATAAACTCCATGAAAGGAAAACAAATACACTCCATGAAGGAGGACAAACAACTCCATAAAGGAGAAAATGAAAACATTCCTTAAGGAGGATAAACTCCATAGAAGGAGAAAGTGAAACCTCCATAGGAGGGATTGGAATTCCACATTCCAAATCGAACCAAAAAAATGAATACAAGGTCTGTATTTATAGAGAAAACAGGAGGCAGCCGAGAAGCTGAAACTGGAAGGAATATTCTGGAATCTGTAATATTATTTTGCTGATGTGGAATATATATTCCAACAATGAGGGATCCGGTTATTGTGGCCACAGGCCTGGTATTGTTTGCATTCTGAATTTCCTTCAAATCTTTTTGTTCTTATGATGTCCCAGAAAAGGAAAGAAATAGGCGAAAGTTACATGGCATAAATCAGAGAAATTTACTTGAAAGGTGTAACTTCTAACATATTTTACTCTTGCAGACTTAAATGAGAGACCTTACATACAGAGATGGATCAATTGGGGCAACACATGTCCGAAAACTCAGCAGAATCTCCAACACCTAACTCTAACTCCAAATTTTGTGTTGAGAAGTTTAATATCTCAAAGGTGTGTCAAACATAATATAGAGCAGCCATCGGCATTAATAAGCGGGAGGATTAAAATAAGTGACGGATCATTTCTTGTGATGTTTGTAGGGATATAGAAGCCTTTAAAGCACTTGTTCGTAAGCTCTCAAGTTGGTCCATTGAGCAACAAATGGCAGCAATGGCTGAGATCCGGTCACTATCCAAAAGAAGTACGGATAATAGAATCTTGCTTGCAGAAGCTGGAGCTATGCCTGTCCTGGTTAATCAGTTTACATCCGATGATGCTCAAATTCAAGAGAATGCAGTCACTTCTATTCTGAATCTTTCCATATACGATAACAAGAAGGGGCTTATAATGCAATTCCTTCTGTGGTTCAAGTTCTTAGAGCTGGAAGCATGGAAGCAATAGAGAATGCAGCGGCAACCCTCTTTAGCCTGTCCTTGGCTGAAGAAAATAAAATAATAATAGGTGCAGCGGGGGCAATACCGGCTTTAGTCGACTTCCTTCAGAATGGAAGCTCATGAGGGAAGAAAGACGCTGCAACTGCATTAATCAACTTGTGCATTTATGAGGGAAAAAAGTGTCGGGCTGTTAGGGCAGGCGTTATTACTGCCCATTAAAGATGCTCACTGATCAGGCAGCAGTATGGTCGATGAATATCTGACCAACCTTTCGGTTCTTGCTAGGCTGCTAGCCACCATGAAGCAAAGGCTGCCGTCATGAAAGCTAGCACAATACCTTTCTTTATAGATCTATTGCGAACGGGTCTGCCTCGGAATAAGGAGAATGCGGCTTCCATTTTACTTGTGTAAAAGAGAATGTGAAATCTTGCTTGTCTAAGTAGGCTCGGTGCAGTAATACCTGTTTCGGAGATTGCCAAAAGTTGGACAGAAAGGGCCAAGAGGAAGGCTACTACAACATTGTTGGAGCATCTTCGGAAGCTGCAACATGTCTGACAGTTTTTTTGACCCAGCAAACTCATCGCTCGTTCTTTTCGTTTTTGTCTGACTGTTGATATTACGCCATTTTTAGTGTGTGAAGGAAAATGAGGATTGAAACATGAACATCAACAC